CACATCCACACACATCCACACACACACACACACACACACACACACACACACACACACACACTTTCTCCAATCTTTAACGTGATTTTAACATGGACAGAACAACTGTGCTAGTATAGATAGCTGTTTGCAAAGAGATATCTTCTTCATCATTCTGAATGCCCCTAAATAAAGAACAGTAAACAAATTTCATCATTTAAATTTTTTAATTTATTCACTTTATATGCTGATCCTAACCCCTCCCTCCTCCCCTCCCAGTCCCACCCTCCCTCCATCTTTCCCTATCCACCCTTCCCTACTCCTCAGATAAGGTAGGCCCTCCCCCCACCTCCCGAGCACGTCAAGTCACAGAGACCTGGAGAGGCAGCCCTGCCAGGGGGAAGTGATCGAAAAGAGGCGACAAAGTCCATGTCAGAGACAGCCTCTGCTCCATTTACTATGGGACCCACGTGAAGACTAAGCTGCCGATTGGCTACATCTGTGTATCCAGTCCATGGGTGGTCCTTGGCTGGTGGATGAGTCTGTGCAAGCTTCCCTAGGCCCAGGTTAGTTGGCTCTGTTAGTCTTGTGGAACTACTGTCACCTCTGGGTCTTTCTATTTTTATCCCTACTCTTCCACAGGACTCCCTGTGCTCTGCCCAACGTTTGGCTGTGGGTCTCGGCATCTGTTTCATTCCATGTTTGGGTAGAAACTCTCAGAAGACAACTATGCTTGGCTCTAATCTGCACACATAGCAGAGAGAGATGAGGGCTGATATCAGACTGGGAGAGCTGAGGAGGGAAGAAAGAGGGCGTGCAGAGAGAAGAGAAACCTGGGGACAGACTCTCTATGACAAGCTGGAGACCTGTGACAGGGTAGGCTACTGGAAGGATGTGAGGGTGACTGTAGCTGAGACTCCTAGTAACAGGAGTCAGGGAGACTGACACAGCCACCTCCTAGACTAGACACAACTCCTAGTATAGAAAGGGAAACACCAACTCATCCACAAAAACTTTGACCCAAAATTTATCCTGCGTACAAGATGTGCAGAAATTGAAGGAAGCTCCAACCATGACTGGCCCAACCTGAGACTCACCCCATGGGAGACAGCCAACCCCTGTCATGATTAACGACACTCTGCTCTGCTTGCATTCAGCAGCCCAGCGTAGCTGTCCTCTGAGTGGCTCCACTCAGCATCTGATGGAAACAAATGCAGAGACCCACAACCAAACATTGGGTGGAGCATAGGGAGTCTTGTGCAAGAGTTGGGGCAAGGATAGAAGAACCCAGAGGGGACAGGAGCTCCACAAGAAGACCAACAGGGCCAAATGACCAGGGCCTACGAGGGGCTGTGGAGACTAAGGACCATGTAGGGACAGATGTAGCTGATGGGCAGTGTGGTCCTCATACAGTGCCCTAGTGAGGGAAATGGGGGCTGACTCTGACTTCATTCTGCTGCCTGCTTTTTGATCACTTTCCCCTGGTGGCTACCTTGCCAGGCCACAGGGGAAGAGGATGCACTCAGTTCTGATGCAACTTGATGTGCAGGGATGGTTGAGTGGGGCTCCCCTTCTCTGAGGAGTAGGGGAAGGGGAATAGAGGAAACAGGGAGGGAGGGGGGCAGGGAGGGAAGGGGGAAGGGGGATATGACAGGGATGTAAAATGAATAAATAAAATAAATTGTGTCAGGGTTGGCTGTCTCCCATGTGGTGGGTCCCATTTTGGGCCAGGCATTGGTTAGACATTCCCTCAATCTCTGCTTTATTTTTATCCTTGTACATCTTGTAGGCAGGGAAAAGTTTTGGGTCAAAGTTTTTGTGGGTGGGTTGGAGTTCCCTCCTTTTGCTAGAAGTCCTGTCTAGTTAGAGGGTGTCCTCTTCAGTCTTCAAGGAGTCCCAGCTAGAGTCATCTCCGTATTCTCCCAAGAGCCTTCCCTGTGGTAGGTCTCCAGCTTGTCACAGAGATGCTCCTGCCCACAGTTTCCCTTCTCTGCAAGCCCCCTGAATTTCATCCTGTAATCAGCATTGCTGTATTGACAATAGCAGTACCTAGCATAGACCATAGCATCTTCTAGAAAGAGCATTACAGCAGCCAGACAGCCGCCCCTGTGGTGGAGGAGAATGTGTGCAAACAACCTTCTGGTTCTGCTTAGCTTATGATGCTGCCTTTAGCTCGTGTCAATGACATGGCCAGTTCTTGACATATTGTTCTAAAATAGACTCCTGTCCACAGTTTGGTCTTCTTAATATAACTTTCAGGTTCTACTTTTCTAGTTTTTCCAGAATTTCAATGGATTGGTCATATGGTCATATTGGTCATAGCTCAATCTCATACTATGATTGAGAAGTAAATATTTTCTTACCATTTGCAAGGACAAAGGTCTTGATTTTAACCAAAACACAAGACAAATTTGTCATCACACCATGGAAAAATACTTTTTATAAGTCTGCTTGGCTGCATTGTTCTCACACAGACAGAGCTTGTCTATGTGAAAGCTATTCTCCTTAAGCTGGGGGTGTCAGTGATCCTCTGATGTGACAGACCTCACATCTTCAGCTCTGGAAGAACCACAGAATGCCAAAATCTCTGGGAAATGGCACCAAGTAAAAACAGTTTATACTTTATGTTCTTAGTTTCAGATTTATGGTTTGAATAAGAACTTTTCCACTGTAAAAACTACAAAAAAAAGTGTGCAATGAGAAAATTTCGGAGGATATTTGAGAAATTTATTGACAGTGCCAAGACAGTTGGGGAAAGTCTTACTTCAGAGTACTTTAGAATTATAAGAGAATCAGATTTAAGAAACCACGTGAAAGCATTGCAGTCAGAGAGGCATTTCTGAGAGAAAAGCAAGTCAATGTAGCATTGACTCTCAACATGTCTGACTAAAGGAGGGCCCATTTATTCATTCTCTGCTTTCTGACATCTCAAGGTTTTCTGTGGGCTGTCTGTACATTCCTCCTCCTCAGGAGTGTCTTCCAGAGCCCTCTGAAGAACCCTTTTGAGGGACCGATGCTGCCTATGCTGCCTAAAAGAGCCAACAAAGAAGTAAATGATGGGGTTGGCACAGCTATTCACACAGGACAGGATACTAGTAATACGGTAAATATGACAAAATGGATGCTGCAAATGGACTTCAAGCCAGTATAATAGGAACAGGTAAATGCCAAGAGGCAGGCCACAGATGAGGAAGACCGTCACTGTGAGTGTGACTGTGACATACAGCCTGGTCAGTGGCCTCCGCTGTGAGCCACAGAAGACCTTGACCAACAGGGCCAGGCTGGACCCAATGAGAAGCACAAATAAAAAAATCAGAAATGAAGTTACAATCAAGTCAAGATTTTTCCACAAATGACGGTGAACCTCACTCAGGAATCCTGAGAAGTACCACTCAAAGATGCTCATCAGAAGAGACAGGGCCCAGATCAAGGTGCATATGATAGCCGACATGTTTTTTGGGCGGTGGCAGTAGTACCAGATCGGCCACAGTACAGACAGGCAGCGCTCTGTGCTAATGGCACTGAGCACGCTCAGGCCTGAGATGTAGGGAATGATTGCTAAGTTGCCTAAGATTTCTTTGCTTAATTTATGAGCATAGATGCCAAAGAAGTCAATGACCCTTAGCAGGGAGTCCGTAAGGTTGCAGCAGAGGAAGAAGGCGTCTGCCAAAGCCAGATTGAGGATGTAGACCGAGATGGCTTTCCTGCGTAGGCGGAATCCCAGGAGCCAGAGCACAGTAACGTTTCCTGCCAAGCCAACCATGGAAATGAGGAGGGCCAGGAACTGCAGGCTCAGGATTGGACTGCAATTTTGATTCTTGGGCTGGCCAGTTTCATTCACTGGTGTTGTGTTGTGGGATGAGATGGTTGGATTCATGCTCACAAATCTTCTAGTAGTGACCCTGAGAACATAAACCACATTTGAGCATCTTAGCATGGTCCTTTCTTCTCAGGACCATGACTTTACTGAGATGTTGTTGTCATCATTCCTAAATAAATTCTAAATAAATTCATTTATAAATAAAAGGAGAATAACATGACTGCATGGTATAAAGGGTCGGAGAGTTCTGGACGGTGGTTCCAAACCCAGAACTTGTTGACGCTACAGCCTGACTTATTCTTCCTGTGTGTAACTCAGAAACTCTAAGTCACATGGAAATGACCCATACAATTCTGTATCATATCTATAGTATTCTATGAGACAAACTTCTCCCACCAGAGGACCACATGGACCAACCATTACTCTTCTCTGGACCATGATTTTTTCTCATGTGGAAGGACTGAGAAAAGCTCAGAGGTGATCATGACATTCCCATAACCAAGATGGCTCCACCATCCACAGAGAATGAATACCATGTTTTAGGGCCACTGGGTAATGTGACCTTTTTCTAGGACATTTTTTAGGATAACAGGGTCTGGTGATCTAGACAGGTGTCCACCAAGCCCCAGCCTATCCTGTGATCTGCTTCCTCCCCTCAGGATCTACTGACGGTTCCAGGAAGCGGGAGAACAGAGCTCAAAAGGCAGTGGGGATAGTTCTTAAAGACAGGAGTCTTTCTACATTTCCCAGGGTTTAGCTTTTCGTATGTCATAGTGTGTCTTTTTTTTTAAGAATGTAAATTTAGAAATCACATTTAAAAACTGTGTGTGTGCATGTGTGTGTGCATCCTTGTAAAAATCAGAATAGAAGGATTTGGTTCTCTCGTCACCATTATCTTAGTGATTGAACTTAGACCATCAGGCTTGGCAGCAAGTGCTTCTGCCCACTAAGCCATCTCATCCGCTTACACTGTGGCATTGTTCTTTCCTCAATGAGTGAAAGAAAAAATGAGGTTCCTTCTAGTTGTAGATAATTTGGATTAAGTGGAAAGTACAAATTAAAATAGATGAAAAGAATTGATACAGATCTTGTTTATTGAAATTACCTTTATAGATAGGTCTGCATATTTTGGAATGATGTCTATGCCCAGAAAATTGAATAACTTTGTTATGAGAATTCAGGATGATTTCAGCTAGCATCTAGAAACATTTTGCTATGCAGTGTGAGCTTAGGGTTTGGGCTGGAGCTGAATTTGTTTCTCAGTGTAGAAGATAAAGTGGTAAGTTAGAGTGAGGTCTGTGTAATGTTATAAGAGGATATTAACCTAACAGTGTGTGAAGAGTGTGAAGAGTATATCGTGCAAGGGAAGATGATGCAGGCAGCCTTGAGGAGACCTGATGAGCTAGGTCAGAGAGAAGGGGAGGAGGACCTCCCTTATCAGGGGATCAGGGAAAGGACATAGGGCGAGAAGAGGGAGGGAGGGTGGGACTGGGAGAAGATGAGGAAGGGGGCTGCAGCGGGGATACAAAACGAATACATTGTAATAAATAATTAATTAAATAAATAGTATGTTGTGAAGTGCATGATATAATCTAATTGCTGTCTCTCTAAAGCTATCTCCAATTGAGTTCATTTTGTAATGAAAGTTTTTGTATTAAAAAAGTGTATTGATTGTGGGGGTATAAAAGTGAGCTGTTTAAAATTGGAAGAGAGAGAGAGAAGCAGGTATTAAATAGAGAAAGAGGAGAGGACAGCTCAGCTCTGGGGAACAATACCAGGTCTCAAGAGGAACTGTACCAAGGGACAAAGTCCTTAATACAAAAACTACTGTTTCTGGTATGTGGTGAGGTTAATCAACACGACAGGAACACGGTAGCAAAGAGGCTCGTTCAGGGAGGGCAGGGAGCAGAGATGGGTACCTGTGCTAGATTCTCCCTTCATTCCCTTTCGTTACATGAGGGCATTCAGTGTTTTGAATGAAATCATCACAATTCTTCTTGGACTTTCTGTGTTGATGGTAGATAAAAATCACAACATCAGCAGGAGATGTTCAGACATCTCTGAAGTTTCTTAAGGAAACCTTTTCTCTATGTCCACCTCAGACATGTCCTTTAAGGTGTCCTGGAGAGTCAGCTTTGCAGACTGCTCTCTTGGATGCTCTTGCTGGAGAGAGGTTCCAAAGAGAAGCAGAAGATGGCTCGATGCTGGTAGGAGTAGACAGGATGTGAGCAATGCTAAGGTAATTTTAAATCCTAAAGTTAACCTAACTGAACAGAATGCCAGAAACCATGTCAGAGGGCAGGATGCAGAGGAGCCCCAGCTGAGCTGTGAGGTGGGTCAAGGCCGCTTTCCCAGCCTCATCTGTTGGGAATCACAGAGAGTCCTGTCCGGGGAGGCAGGATGGACTCAGAGAGCACAACAAACAAAACTACCAGCCGTGCTGCGGTGCTGAAGTGCGCTGTGCAACACCAATAACAGCGGTGACTGCAGAATGCTTAGCAGCAGAGGCATCACGCAGAGCAGGGCCCGTCCGACACCTAATACATGTCTTGTGGCAGTAGTGGCAACACAGGTCATGCATGGACAGGAAATGGAGCGAAAGGTGCTGAGTGTGTTCGAGCCTGCAATAGCCTCTATAGGAACAGCTGATCACAGTGAGCAGGTCACCGAGGACCAAGATAGTGGCGGAATTAAATATGTAGGTGAGTTAAGCCAGGGAACCTACAATGATACGGCCTGGGGAGAGGAAGGTGGTCCTTCCAGGTTTCAGGTATTGATGGAGAGTGTGTCTCTGTGCATGCGAAGCTCAGGATTTAGAGCATGATAGTATTTGAAAGAGGGCAGTGATGATGACTTGCAAGTTTCTCAGCAGAGGCACCTTGAAGTTAGGATTTCTTTCTTTCTTTCTTTCTTTCTTTCTTTCTTTCTTTCTTTCTTTCTTTCTTCCTTCCTTCCTTCCTTCCTTCCTTCCTCTCTCTCTCTCTCTCTCTCTCTCTCTCTCCCTTTCTTTCTGAAGGAGAGGTTGCATATGTATATACATACACACATATATAATGTGGATCCATTCATTCACTTTACATCCCTATCGCAGCCCCTTCCCTTTTTGTTGCTTTAATAAAACACCACTTCCACAGAGGAAGACAATGCACAGTCCTGATGAGAGCTGATAGGCTGGGTCAGATGGAAGGGGAGGAGGACCTCCCCTATCAGTGGACAGGGAGGGGCCTGGGAGGAGAAGAGGGAGGGAGGGTGGGATTGGGAGGGGATGAGTGACTACTGCTGGAATACAAAGTGAATAAATTGTAATAAAAAACAAAAAACAAAAAACACCATGGCCAAAAGCAACTTTTGGAGAGAAGGGTTTATTCCAGCTTACAGCTCTCAGGTCACACTCCATCAGGGAGGGAAGGGAAGTCAGGGGAGGAACTCAAAGAAGGAGCCTGGGGGCAGGAACTGAAGCAGAGGCCATAAAAGGGTGCTTACTGGCTTGTTTGTTTCTTAGGGAGTGCTCAGCCTGTTTTTTGTCTGTTTGTTTTGTAACACCCAGGACCACCAGCCGAGGGGTAGTACCACTCACAATGGGCTGGGCCCTTCCCCATCAATCATTAATAACAACAATAATAAAATGTTCCCCAGACTTGTCCACAGGCCAAGTGACTCTTTCCCAAATGACTCTGGCTCGTGTTAGGTTGGCATAAAACCAGGCAGCACAGCAGAGAAATGCTTGTAGGTCCAGTCACTGCTGCAATCTGGGGTTCCCCAGCTGAGTTTACTGGAACCCCCAGCAGGCACCTGGGAGCACAAGCATGGCCTCTCATTCCCAGGAACACCATGGTGGCATTGGAATTACTGCCTCTGTGTCACAGAGAAGGAAACAGGCACAAAATTAAGTGTTTTTAAAAGATGGGAGGCCTGCGCTTTGGATTGGTCCAGTTCCTGTGGGCACTAAACACCACATTTCCTCTCCTTTACTGACAGGGGACTATTCTCTAGGCTTGTCAGTCAGCAGGCTGGAGATTGCTAAACTGGTGGAAGGAATGACAATTCACTCCTCTTCACAGGAGTTCCACCCTGCGTGCGGCCATCTCTGAGCTTTCCTCAGAAGGTGCAGTTCAGCCCGTCTGCTTCTCTGAGTGTACTCTTAACTCAGAAAGTCATAACTTTGACTCTTTTTTTTCTTTAGATCTCATTTTCTTTTGGATGTGGGCCAAAAGCCCAAGCTGGCTTTTCCTGGCACTCTGTACCTTCTCACTCATCTCCTTCCACCATGGAGTTTCTTTCCAACTTCCATTGCTGGACTAGCCAGTTTTCTTGGGAACTAACCGAAAGGCCTTTTCTCTTCCTCTTCAACATCTCCCTCCTTCCGGCAGCTGCCCAGGTCTACAGCACGCCTACTCTGTTGTTTTGCTCTGAAATTCTAATAAAATTATCATTTAGCTTCCTTCTGAATCTGTTTTTACAGTATCTTTTGGGGGGAGGTGTTTTTAAATTCTTTTATTACTCAGGGAACCCTGATTTCTCCCATAACACAAGGACTTATTTTAGTTTGGCTGAGATGTGGATTTATTTTTGCAGGTAGACTGTGTGTGTGTGTATGTGTTGGCTGAGCATGTAGATCTATTTTTGCATGTAGATTGTGTGTGGAGGGGTAGGCTGGGTGAGGGTAGCATGGCAGACGGTTCTCTGTGAGTTTGGGCTGAAGTGCTCAGCTAGGTAAAGGACAAGGGAAGGAGGATGAAGTCTGAGCGCTCGGTAATTAATTAAAACAAAACAACGAAAGGAGGAATTAATTGGTGTGGTGTAAGCCACTCAAAGGTATGGTTGAGCCTCTTTCAGATATATGGTCAGGAGTGGTATAGCTGGATTTTGAGGTTACACTGTTCCTAATTTTCTTGCCAGACATGCATTTTCCCTTTCAGCTCTTTCAACAGCCAAAGAGGTAAGAATTAACATTTTTCTCAATTTTTAGAAGATGGGCTTGGAGCAGAGAAGGTGAGTGATTTGCTCATAACCCTGTGTAACCCAGTCACCTAGCTTCCCACAGTGTCCTTTCTTCT